CAGATAAGATCTTGGTCTTTTGCCCAGCTTAGAGTACAGTAGCATCATCATAGCTCACTGTAACCTCAAACTCCAGAGCTTAAGCAATTCTCCTGCCTCAGCCTTTTGAGTAGCCGGGACTATAAGCATGTACCACTACACATGGCTATTTTTTATTTTATCTTTTTGTAGAGATGGGGTCTTGCTATTGCCCAGGCAGGTCTCAAATTAAATTCCTGGCCTTAGGCAATCTTCCCACCTTGGCCTCCCCAAATGCTAGGATTACAGGTATGAACCACGATGCCTGTTCTGTCCATTCATTTTTATTTCTAGTTTTTTGTTTTTTTTTTAACGGTAGGTATTCTTTTAAGGCAAAAGAAGTACATAAAGCATTATATTTTTTCTATTACCAAAAGTTTATATGACTCAAATGCCATAAGGATATGAAGCTGGACCTAGGGAAGTGTAGATAGTATCTGGTCCTTCTACCCTACCTCATGTTCTGATATTCATCCAAAATTAAAATCTACAAAACTTCAAACAAACTTAAAATTTCTTTTAACCAACCTATTGTTTAAAAGAAGAAAATAGAATTTTCAGTACCAGAGAAGATTCTTAAATTTGTAGCTACAGCCAGAATTTTTATTAGCTATACACTTCTCTAAACAGAAAGTCCTAGAGATTTATGCCAGAGACCACCCAGCTGCTGAATTTTTAAGGATGGGAGATAGTGGCAAAATGCCAAATAATCAAATAAAGACAGATTGACTGCTTTGTGGAGTTGGAGTTTGGCTTAACCTCAGTAGTAAGGTGTAGTGCTAGATACTACAGATGGTTTGAAAGTTATGCCTCCTTTTTGTCAAGTCAGCCTTTCACAGATTGCTCAGTAAGGTATACTATACCATGCTGGAGGTCCCCAGAGCAATTTACTGGGTATGGTATGGCAGCAAGAGTAGTCTGGTTCATGGGGGAACACCTCAACAACAAAGCCAGCATGGCAGTCACGGCCACAGGGAGGCCTCTTGTTTTTAGTCCACGTTGTTTGTCTTTCCACGCAGATTCCTCCTGTATCATCTGGTGAGATTTTGATATGACTTGTATGTTTTTGCCCTATTTGCAAACCTGCAAGCCTAACTTCTGAAGCTTTAGAAGATTTAGAATAGAAAATGAAGGCT